GGCCGTTATTGCCCAAAATTGGCTTGGCTTTGTTAGAGCTGACTTTCCAGTGGCCACAGCCGGTGCTGCTTATCAAATTGCTACTGCATTTGCTCATGAAGAAGAAATTCATCTTCTTTTTGCAGAAGAAGTATCTCTTATCCCTCAAGCAACCTTCATTAATTAGTTAATTAATTAACTAAAAGCATACAATATAGTAGCTCAATAGTTCTAAATCTGGTAAATGATGAAGGTATACATAACATACAGGTCATTAATTACAGGGAGGGCCAAATATTAATTAATTCGTTTTCCTTTAATAAATAAAAAAATAAAAATAAAAATAAAATCATCATAGGCCACAAATTGAAAATATATTAATATGCGCAGGGCAGCAAAGTAGTAAATAATAATATTAAAATTTATTACCAGGCAAGTCCCATGGATTGAGGTGAAAAAGATGATGGAGGTCAGGAATAACAGAGGCTGGCAATGGCTGTGAAAAAACCTTCCTTTTCAAGTAATGAACCAAAAGCTCCTCATCTGTGGGCTCAAATCTGAACCCAATTGGAAGCTGCTGCTGCTGCTGCTGCTGCTTATAAACAACAATATTATTCCCATTCTTTTCCTCCTCTTCAAAACTTGTTTCTCTTTCCATCTTCTTCACAAACAAACAAACAAACAAACAAACAAACAAAAAAACAGAAAAATGAAAATCTAGGGAAATCAAGAACAGGAAGATGTAGGGCAGCAGATTCAGGTTTTTACTATTTATGCCTTTTTTTTTGTTTTGAGCTTTGAAGTTAGTTTTCTGTAAGAATAAGAAAGAAGAAAGCAGAGCTATTAATTAATACTCCTATTTATTTATTGAGAGAAAAGAGAAAAGGGGGGTTGGGTTGGGTTGGGTTGGGTTTACAAAGTAACTAGTCAGTCCGTGGTGGTATTAATCCCCCGGATCGGATCATGTATTTATTGTTATTAGCCAAAAAGAAATACTCCTTTCAAAATCAACTGCGTGTGTGTGTTAGCTTTTACTTTTTGACTAAAAATAGATTGTTATAAATAAATATTGTGACGTGTAAATACGATTTTTTTTTTTTTTTGGTCCGAAAAAGGAATAGGAAGCTAGTAAGCTATTCTACGTGTGTATGCCACGAGATTCGAATTGAATTGAATTGAATTGAATTAAATAAAATGTTATAGCCTATTACATATAAGGGTGTATATAACCCACCAAAAATAAAAAATAAGTGAGTTTCATTTCTTGTGAGTATTATATATATACATCTATTTACATTTATCATGTACATGTAACAATATTAATAAAGGCTGAACTCCCGTGTGTGCGCGCGCTTGGTGTTGATAAGAGTTTGAGTCGGCTTTGGATTTCTCTTGGTAGACGTGTATGGGTTAGCAAGCACCTTCAGTTTCTTCTCAACATATTGATTATTTTGCTTGTGTTTATCTTACTTACAATTTTAAGTTGCATACCAAAAAAAAAAAAAGATAAATTAAAATGACCACTATTGTTTAATTCAAAACGTGTTGAGTCTAAATATCATGTTCAAATGCTTTGAATCTTACTAGTACAAATCTCGTACGATGCACGAATAAAAATATTGATTAATATTTATAAATTAAAAAATTTTCTAAATGGGGGTGCCTGGGGCACCTCATCTTCTCATTTTGTCGTTGCTCATTCTCGTTAGGCCGAAGTCTTTGGCCTTTCCTTCTCCGCGCCCGCTCAAGTTTCGCTGACCTATCGCGTGGTAAAAAGAAGAAAGTACGAAAGAATAGTAAAGGGAGCACACCGTAGAAAGATTTTAAATATGATAAGTCCCCCTTTGATTCGATAAGAAGAAAATGAAGAACGGGAATAAAACGAAATAGGGCGTTTCTAGCTCTAGTTTCGGATGAGTTTCTCCCAATTCTGTCTGGTAATAGAATAGGACGACTTGCTCTGACCAAGACTCTACTTTTTGCTCTGTATTATAAATTAAAAACATGAAACCAATATTAAAACAACGTACCTATATTAATTTATTAAAAATATTATATGAAATTTAAATTGTGCAGAATATCACTTAAACGTCGTCTATTTAAAATCAGTACACACCCGCGCGTTGCACATAAGTGATAATAAATTACATTATATTCGTTTCAAAATATGTGTCATCTCATAATTTTTATTCAGAAATTTGATTTGACTATAATGTGATTCCATAAAATAATTATTTTAGTAAAATTTGATCATATATTTAAAAAACTTATTTGAAATAAATGATTCATTCGAGAGCACCACACTTTTTGCATGTTATTTCTAGTGGAGTATTAGCTTACGAATGAATTAATACTACTCCTGTTCTTTTTAAATGTTATTTTGATATTATTAACTATTAACAAAATAAATGTCGTTTTTAATATTTTGTACATATTTTTTCATTATTATCCTCATCTAACTAATAAATACACTTTGCATTTTCATATTCACTCTTCATATTTTCTCAAAACATTCATCTTGATCCTCATTAATGAGGGTTATTGACAAAAAAAATATTCTTAATAACTGTGCAATTTCTAAAAACGATTTTAGAACGAGAGTTATTAAAAATAGGAGGGAGTGATGTTTTTTTTGAATAAGAGAAAACCTCATCAATATCCAAACTCTTGTTAATTAATTACAAAGCATTCATTAAGCTCACTTGGTTTTTAGGTAGGTCATAAATTGTTTTAGAACCCAACACCTATATGTGTGTGCGTACGTTCTTATGGACGCATTAATTGCTTTATTTTTGTGTTTTTAATTAATTTTGCAGCGTGATTATTAATAAAGTTTTAATTTCTCAAAGAGTTGAACTCGAACACAGTTTGTTTGGTCATTTTGGGTAGAAATTGTCCCCTCGAAATTGACACAACTGTGGCAAGGCCAAGGCAATTAATGTGGTCCAACAAGAGTCACTCTTTACCACGCAAACCTCATACTATTATGCATTAATTAATATTTATTTCTTCTTTTCTTTTCTTTTTAGTGTATAAATTAATCGTATCTATATATATATTAAAGCGGAGCAGCTCAAAGAAAAAAAATTTCCCGCCTAAACTATAATAAATACATGTCATTATTAGTGGTATTAATGCTGAAACAATCCACTCACATTTAAAAACGCTCTCCGAAATTAATGATTAAAATTGCACAAATTTAATTGAAAAATGTGAACTGAAGTTATTCTTCACGAATTTAAATTACGTAGTAATCTGTGCCATTAATTCCCAAAATATAACCACAACTCATTAACCTTCAAAATATAAATGTATTTTGTTTTCATTTCCACATTTATTTCAAAACATTCTACATACAATGTTTCTATCATTTGAGAAGCCAAATTTATAGCATTTATATAATAGCTAAAGAAATAGGATAATCACAAATATATAGATAATCGATACATGTATCGTAGTAGTAGCAGTAGTAGTAATAATAATAATAATAATAATAATAATAATAATAATAATAATAATAATAATAATAATAATAATAATAATATTGATAATAAGTAGCATGAGAAAACAAAACTTGAGCCTAAACAATATACGAAAAATAGAATTACATTGTTCGGAAAAAAATAGTCGGTCGAATCTTATCGAATTTTCGTGTTCGATCTAATACTCAACCAAATTTCATACTTTTTTATATTGCTTTCTAATAAATTTAAAAAAATTAAAACATAGACAGATACAATATAAAGTTATATTTCTCATAAATAATGTGATTTATTTGACTAAAAGGGAGATTTGAAAATTCAAAAAGTATAATCTACGGTATTGAGTACTAACATGCATATCCATACGAAGTATCTCGAAAATAGTGAACAACCTATGTACTTCCACAAAAATTATTTGAACTTAGATTTCTTTTATCAATATCAACCATGAATATAAAAAATTAAATAAATAAATAAAACAGAAGAAACAAAAAAAGGACAACTTAGAATCGAACATAAGATCAAAATTTGATTGTACTTGTGGAAGAAAAATACATAAATATACCAGAACTAACATTAGAAAAATGGAAATGATAATATACAAATTTCAGAGATTTGCATGATTTCAGAAAGGCGCAACTCACGTCTTTAATTGTGAAACGGAAGAGAAAATCATATTGGTTTTGGTTTGGTTGCTGGTGTTGTTTTGACACAAAAATACAAAATTTATTTAATATTTTTTAGTTGGCATCATTTATTTTATTTTTGTCAAATTATTGAAGAGGCCATCTAGACGTATGTGCATACATTTTTTTGTCATCATTTGAATTATAAAATTATAATTCTTGAAAAAGAAAAAAACATAATGAGTTAACTTATTGTTAATTTTCTATTCGTACATCTATATTGTTTCATAAGAATGATGGAAAGATATGGTCTTCATCACAACATTACGACAAACAAATTTCTGCACGAAATACCACAGATACGACAACATTTTTTTTTTTATCATACATCACAAGTGTTAGTTTTACATTTTTATTGTTTTAGTGTTATATATTATATTTTAAATACTTTATTCTTATATTTTACAATAATTCTATCGATGTGTATTTATAACAAAATATGTTAAATTATGATTCTCATAAATTCAATGCATAATAAGTGTTGGTTATTGATCTAATCATTGGCGTGATCATCTTAATTATTACCTTAATATGATCTAAAAATACAAAAAAAAAAAAATAAA